AGTATTTGACTAAGCGCGAGTCTGAGAGGAAGAGGCTTTCTGAGCACAGTTGTGTCAGCATATTATTGTGTATGTATCAGGGCTTGTGCAGATAATGCTGTCAGCCTTAGCAAATGAAGTTGTCAAGCCCAAGGCTTCTTATTTCATGAGAGTTAGAGCTGAAGAAAAATCTCAGACTGACTTGCTGTTGGTTTGTCTTTGCACCACATTTGGCGTTCATGTGTTGAATGACAAATATACTTCCTTTGTTTACCTATTAAGCAGGGACCTGTGAACATTGTGTGGTGACGACTGAAGTTTTGAAAGAACCCTGCTTGCTGGGTTGTAAAGTGTTGTTTCAGATGGGCAATTATGAATTATGAAGTTGTATTGGAATAATTATACAAGCTCATCTTCCTTCAAGACAGGAACCCTTTGAAATAGGCAAGATCAGGTTTGTATTCGACACACATACGAATGCAATGTAACTTACAAGTCCCAATAATAACATGTTATTGAACTGCATACATTTACAAAAGGGCTTAGTAAGTACCTTTCTAGAGCGATCATACCCATTAAGCGCCACAGACGTCAATTACAATTACCAACAGAAAGAAAAATCAATCTCTAATTCTACACTCATAGTTAAACTCCCTTGTGCATTGTTCAAACTCGCAACATGTCAGCCGTCTGCACAAATTAGATATAGGATTTATGCGGTAAACCGTCTCCCGACTATTGTGAATGACTTAATAAAAATTGTAAGTTTGTTGGCATGTGTTCTGCTCCATAGAAGGTGTTGTACAACTGTGGTTGATGCTTGTCACTGATCCATCAACTGGCTGCAGCTTTTCACATTCATCATTGTACATTCTACCTTATTGGTTCAGTTGGTCCCTTAGATATGAGGCGTTGTCTAAAAATAATATTTGTGTGACATTGTGCTTCCTACTGAAAACTGAAGTAACATACTGTATACCCTGTTGTGTCAAACTAGCATTAGTCTCTTGAACATTTACTCTATATCAATGTAGACGTTTTTGTGTTGTTTAAAGAGGATTGGGTTCCTATTTGCAGTGAGTGTTTGTGCGTGTTGTGCTATGCTTTCGTTTAATTTCCTGTGTTAAATTTGCTAGTGTACAAAATCTAAAACACAATTACACCTCTTCTTTTCCAAATTATGACTAACGGATGCACTTAAAGAACACGATATATGAGATGTAGCTGTAAAGAGGGGAATATGTTGACTGCGTGTGCTTATTGGATTCCAAAAACCAAGCAAAACAAAGAGTGACGCCACACCTTCTCTTATCTATTTGATTACCAAGGCAGTGTTGGAGGGAAACCCATTTGATGGGGCTGCTGGGGCTAATTAGAAGAAATACCCAACGAATTACAAGTTCTGCCAAAGTCTAATCTAATAATGTACCATGAACACACATGAATACTAGCATCTATGTGAATGTTGAATTATTTATTCTTGGGCTAAAAACAAACATAAGAACAATGAGTCCTGAAGGGGGACACCAGAAAGAGTCCTGTTTGTTTTTGTTTTATGAAGTGGAGTTGTGTGGGGTACTTGAGTGGTCAGTCGCTCAGCAGTTAAAGTAATCCTAGTGTTGAAAATAAGTGAAGAACTCTCCTGAGGGAGGCGAGTTAAAAGCTTCTCAGCACAGGGACAAACGAAAGATCAAAATTTCATGATCCAACTTCTTTCAGTTTCAGATTCTGTTTTTGAATCCCAAAATAACAACTGCAAGACCGTAGGATTGAATAATTGTCAAAGAAGACACAACGTATTTATCGGAAGAGTAGAGAGGAGGATACATAGGGAAGCTCCAAAAAATTGTAAATGGACTCGATGATGTAACAGAATGCACTCTGTGTCTACTTTTTACTTGTAAACAATTTACATTCTAGTCAAACAAAAACTGAGTCGTGTACCTTTAATATCTGCCCAGAAGCTTCAATAAGCATATGAAGCTTATTGGTATAACCCGAGGTTGGAATTAAGCAGCTTTGTTGACCATCGCTGTCATGTACGGAGCCAGAACAGGAGAGTCCATCTACATACCAAAAGAGGTGAATTAATGTGTTGGTTTCGAGGGATCAGATTCCCAGGTTGATTACCACCTGGGTACAACTCTGTTTGAATCTCTCTGTCCAGCTGATGTTTGAAAAAGGCTTCAATATAAGATACTTTTTTTCTCACTGGCATGGATTCCTTTCACTCAGAATTGAGTGACCCTTTTCAGGGTTTTTTTTTTTTTAACCCACTGATGCTGTTCATTAGGGAAACTTCTGCTTCCCACTTCCTTTTTGCTCTCAAAACCTTAAAATCTTACCCTTTCTGTCATTGTGAAGTACATTTCCATCCATTTATAGCACCTCCAAGAGACAAGAATAGGGCATTCCTCTGGAGGAACCGAAAGATAGCTCTTTCCATTCTTCCATTTATGCCTCAACTCTCACTACCTGACTAAGATGTTAGGAACAGGCAGGTGTTTGGAAAAGCAATGTGATATCCTACCATATTACAAAAAAAAAATTACTTGCAAGTCTAAAAATGCTGGACAGTAGCATTTTTAGACTTTAGTAGGGAAAGTACATTATCATTTCTAATTTGCCTTAATGCCTGCAATTCATCTGAGCCAGAGAGCTAAATTTGTCCAACTGCATTGGTTTAGGATTGTTTTGTATATGAGCTGTAATTGTGGTTTTCAAAGTCCTTCATCTACCACTTCATTGTCTTTTCTCTTTTGATTGGGGGAAAATGGAGTGATAGGAGAGATGCAATCAGAGGCATATTTTTTTTTCCATTATTGAAAAGGACATCACAAATGAAGTGTTTTTCACATAATACTTGAAAAACATGACAGACTATATTTAAATTATGTGGACATACAATTTGAAGCAGAGGTTTGCATATACTTCTCATAGGGATAAATACCTTTAATATTTTTGGGCTTTTTTTTTTAACAGTGCATTTGGATTTTGGTGGACTGATTTTGCAAAGTACAACTTTATTCATTTAGCAAATACAAAAAGCATGGTGTGCAACTTTGAATTTATTGTGGATTTTCGGTAATCCATGGAGGGTCAAAGACATGTACAGACAAGTTCAAACATCCCCATTAAAAATCTCTTCAGTCATATCTTCTTAGGAAACCCTGTTGTTTTTGCAGTTTCACTGATGTTCAGAGATATGAGAAAATTAGTTATTAGACAAAAAATAGTTCAATCATTGGGAGAGCGTGGAGGATGGAATGAAAAAAAATGAAAGATGGAAAAGTTTTGTTTTAGGGAAAATGGGGGAAAAGTTAACAAGGAAGATGCAGGGGTAGAAATAGACAAATGCAGACTGATAGACAAATAGACACACACTCGTGTACATACACGGGCAAAGACAGACAAAGGTCACACTGCCATCCCCGCCACTGGGGCTCAGACAAACTGCTAGTAAAATGCTCTATTTCCCATCCAAATTAAACTGTCAGTTAATATTAATGTGAAAGTGAAGACTGTCAGCCAACGCAAGATGCGTACACACAAACACAAATGCAAACAGCTTTTACGCCCAAACCACACGGACACAAATGCAGAATTTCGAATCTCGCCTGGTCAATTACTGGCAGCCGAATGTGGCATGCACGCAGGTCACAAAGAGGTCTGTGCGATACGAGTGTGTGTTGCGTTTCGTGTCTGTGCGCTGGTGCACAGCTTTGATCAAACCCGGTGACACATCTCCTCCCATCAGTCACATGAAGGTTATTTCTGAATGAAGATGCAGTTGTGGCACTCTATTTAATAAAACAAGTCAGAAAAACTGCCTCTGTGCGTATCTACACATTTGCTGCTATTTTGTGCATATTATAGAAGTGTGTGTGATCACATTCTCTTTAAATGAGCCTCCGTGAGGGAGAGAGATTTGCAGCTGTAATCATGTGTTTCTTCAATTTTGGTGGAGTTGTATCTTTAAGCATGATTTTTTTATTTATTTATTTATTTTTATTTTTTGAGTGGGTTTATTTTGTGCACATGTGTGGCAGCTGATTACATGCAATTCTGGTTGTGTTTGTCTCGGTGTATCTTGTTGGAGCAAATGGGAATGCAGAATAAGGGAGGTAGAGAATAATCCTCATGTATCTCTTTCTTCAGCCGACCGGAACGTAGCTTTCGCGGCTTGCTGCGAAGCACTCACAAACAAACGCACACAAACAGAATACCCAGCCGACCGTAAAATCGTAATGTCAGACCTGTTAATGCCTTCAGATAGCAGCAACTGTAGCCCTGCATGCTCTTACCCCATAACCACAAATGCACACGCAAACATAAATGTAATAAACAGAGACCTATCTCTCTTTTTTCTTTTTCTTTTTTTTTTTTTTTTCGGCATAATACTCTGCTGTGAGGAGTATCCTAGAATTTTGCCTCTTCTTACTAATAGAATTGACTGAAAATATGAATTCCTTTATCCTGGTAATTCTTAAGATCTCAAAGCAAATATCACTTTGGTTTTTCCTTCTTTGGCACTTTAATAACAAGCAATAACTCTTAAAGAGTTACAGGTATGCGATTGTTTTCCATATATATGTAAATCATAAAACTGACCATCTTTAGGACAGTTTTCATTGCAGTTAATTGTCAGTCCTAAAAAGCTTTGATATTTATTGTCCACTGTAAGCATTATTTGCCATTTAATCACATAAACTGAGGAAACAGATGATTTTAACGACTATCTTACCCAATTTTACAATTACAGTTGAAAAATTGTAGTTGCTACTTGAAAGTTGCCAGCTCTACTTTCACGTAGAGCTGGCAACTATACACACATCACTTACTGCATCATCCAATTTCTCATTCTGAATTGAACTGACAACTTATAGTATCTCTCACTGTCAACAAGTGATAATATAATATAATATAATATAATATTTGTAGATGTTTGTTTTTTAACCACCGTAAGCAAACTACGAATTTTATTGTTGGATCTAAAAATACCAATGACTCATCTCTGGCTATGAGTAATTTTACTTTATTTTTGAATAATTTTTAACTTTTTTGTTGTGTTTTTCAGATTTTTATTCCTTAACTACTTCATGCATTGTGACTGGGTTGATTTTCTTGCCCTTTTATTTATTGTTCTGTCCAGTCTCTCAGCTCTCTATTTTAACTTCATAGATGGATTTTATTAGACATAAATAAAATATGTGAATGTGTGACTGGTAAGCCTTTAATTATGGACACATTTCAATAATATGATGACAAACCCAATCATTAGTCCACATATGTAACTTTGAAAAACATACAATAAACATTTTGCATTCCTTCCTATCCTTCATTTGCTCACTGAAGTGTTTATAAACTAAAAACTCCAATAGTATCGCCTATCATTGTCAAAAGAATACTTGTATGAATGGGGGAAAAAAAAAAACTTCTAATAAAACTCGTTTAACCTTGTTTTCCCCAGCTATTCCACGCTATATTTCTATGTGTGAGAGCCAGACCGCAATAGACACATGTCTGTTTATTACAGTGTTTGTGACTAATGAGCAAATTTACCCCCAAGCCTGTAATTACTCTGCAGTGTTGATCTGTTTGAGTTTTTCAGGCCCTATGTACCTAATTATAGGAGCATAAACATAAACTTTTTTTTGCTTCTGGATGCTGCCATGTTTGCTTTGCTGTGCTTTTCCATCAATCTTTACATCTGCCGCAAGCCCTGTGAGCTTGACGGGGCCAGGCTCAGCGCCACAGAGAATCATCCTGTCACTTTCCATGTCTCGGCGTCTTCCCCCGGCGGCGTCACTCTTCTCCCTCGCTGCACAGATCAAAGAACTGACACATGCCCCAATGTTGTCTCTCCCCTTCTCCCTTATATCTCTGACTTGCACTCTTTCTCGATCTTAACCCTTTACCTCTGTCACTCACCATCTCTTTCTGTCCTTACATCCAGCTTTCTTCCTGACTACATCAGTGGGGATTTTGATTCCATCACACCAGAGGTTAAAGCTTTCTATGCAGACAAGGTGAGTGGATCAAAACTTCCGCACACAGTTGTGCATGTAGAAGCAGTGAAACTTTGAGCAGTCACACAGCCGGACTGGGGATAAAGGACCTCCTAATATGCTGTCTGTTTCCTTTTAAATATAGTTTCTGAGGTCTGAAAAACCTTCACATTACTACTTTTTATTAACTCAAAACACAATGCTGGCCACATATTTTGGCACACATGGTAGAAATGTACTTTAAAATAAATGTATATTTCACTGCAGTAGCATATTCTCATATAGTCTGAAATATTTTGGAAAAAATTTTAACTTTTAATTTGAGAACCTTTTTTTTTTTTTTTTCCATTTTAACGTTTTACCAACCTTACAATGGTGCCACCAAATTTATTTTTTGTCCGTATAAGTTTAAGTAGCTGAATCAAACGTACAGATTCCAACTCAAGATTTGCACAGACAAAAGATTTTAAATTTCATTACTGACTCGGCAATCTGTCCTTTTAGCTACTTACACTAATTGTGTTGGGGTGTTATGATTTAGCAAAATGTCTTTCTTGTCCTAAATCGAACAAAAAGAGAGAGAGAAATACTGATAGGATGGAGAGAATTTACTGTATGTAACCTTCTTCATTTTTAATTTAAGACCACTAACCTATAATTTCATGTGCTCACTTTTTTTTGTGAGCTAATGTAAAATTATTAAATAACTTACATTGTAATAATACAACTATGTCAATGTAGCGGTGTGAATTTTCTGTGCAGATACTTGACTTGTAAGGTCATTTTAATTAGTCTGAAAAGACCTTACAGCAGCCATCTTCATCTTTTGTGGCCAGTTTTTTTTTTTTTTTTTTTTTAATTATGAATTAAACATAACAGGAACGAAAGATTTTCCGAAGGATCCGCTAGTTAGATTCTACATCTTAGTCTTCACTGCCTTCTTTTCCTATACTGTGGAGACAAAAAGTATCCAAGGTTAAAAAAGAAAATGCAAATCAATCTTTGAGGTGGTCTTCCCATTGTTTTTAGTCAGTGGAATGTCAAGCTACAGGCTCGATTCAATAAATTATTAATACAGGGGAAATCAGTCAAGCATATACGCTTGCCTCCGAGAAAAAGAAATACAAAGCCTGTGTGGTCTTTGTGCTGTGTCACTCTATGCATTACTGGTGCAGATCTAAAACTTAAATATGCATGCATATTCTCATTTACACATGCTCACAACCTGCACACACACACACACACACACACACACACACACACACACACACCTCCAGATGACAGATTTTGGGATTTCTTCAGCTTTGCCACTCTTTTTCCCCTCATCTGTCTCTATCACTAGTAGTAGACCGTTTTCAGAAATATCACACAGGTTGTGTAAAAAAAGAGAAAAAAAAAGAGCAATGCCTTTTTTTGAGAGAGAGAGAACAGACTGTTATGGTAATGCTTTTGAAGCAGAACAATTGAAAAGTTTGAGGCGTTCCTTCAGAGATTTGCCGCAAACGGTGAATAATTCTGCATAAATGGAAAAGAGAGAGAACAGAAAGGCAGCCACTAGGGAGGGGGAGACAATGAGAAAGCAGGGATGGAAAAATGATGGAAGGAGGAGGAGAGTGAAGGTTGGATGGATGTGATCAAACGGAGTGCGGCGAGCAAGTTTTGTGTGAACTCGATGTTGCATGTGTGTGCCAGTGATATGAGGAAGACGGCACATTTTAGAAGCAAAGTGACTCTGTGGAGAGAAGAAGAGATGGAATGGGGGAAAAAGCCAGAGCCTGGTTGTTTACCTAGATGTTGTAGTTTAAGGCCACTGACTGGAACCTCTACATTATTCAACAACACAACCCGCGGGAAGCTAGACAGCACTAAAACACTGATTTATACCTCTCTCCATGTCTGCTTCCCTTTCTGTTTTCTTTCCTTTGTTCTGCTTTTCCTTATCTCTCCCTTGGTTTTCCCTTTACTGTCTGTGTTGTGGTACAAATATCGAATCATGTTTTGTTGCTCTCGTGTGTGTTTTAATTTGTCATTGTGTCCATAGGGGTGCGAGCTCATAGAAACAGCTGACCAGGATCTAACCGACTACACCAAATGTCTTGTAAAAATGCTGGAAGAGATACGGAGACGAAAGCTGCAGGTAAACTACACGCTGCTCCATTTCAGGCATGCTTTTCATCCTGCTCCAGTTTCCAAATGACAACAGCTCTTTTTTTTTTTAAAGAAATTTCTCAAATATGTCTTATTTACACTTTATTTAACTTGAGCTGGGTGTTTGTGGATCGTCGGATAAACTGTCTGCTGCCTCTAGTCGCAAAGAGAACCATATTGTTTTCATCAAGCCATAAAATGCTTGCCTTTTCTTTTCTAGAAACAAAAGACACAGTGTGTCTTTTTCCGCAATGTCACTTCTTCAGATTTTTACAATAGTTGTAGACTGTTTCTGATAATTATGTAAAAAACCATTGCCTATTCTGTGGTCCATTTAAAACGGTGAAATAGCCCTTTAGGAGATTCTAACTTTAGGGTTGCATGGTGCACGTCAATATTTTCATACAGCACTTGTCATGTCTCGCCTGCCACTGTTCCCGAAATGCTGTAACACAAAAAAGAAAAAAAAAGTGGTGGAAGCTACTTGATTTCTTATGTAAACAAGCAATGTCAGCCAGCCAAAAATCAATTTTTAGAATATTAATCCACATCGTTAACACAACAGGACAACAAAAAACTACTGGTTTTCTCACTTTAAATAAGTCTTAAGCATACAGCAAGATACTTACGCACCACATATAAATAAACACATAACTTCTTGTTTTTTTATGACTATTATTTTGTGGCACTTTTAGCCACAGCATTAATGACAGACTGAAAAGAAATGGGAAAGGAGAAAGACACTCAACAGAGTTTTTGAGGTTGGGATTTGGACCCGACGAATAGAACTCAGGACAAACAGCCTCTGCATATCCCCACTTTATTCTCTCATTAATCTCTGAGATCAATTCAGATAAAACTTTCTCTCACTTTCTTTTCTTGCTGTCCGCAAATTTAATATTAATATGCCTTTAAACAAAGCTGGAAAAAGTGGAAAGTAACGTTGTGACTTTGAGAGATTAAACCAAATCTGAGTTCATTAATGGCCTGCCAGTGGATGTATATTTCAACCCACCTAAAGCACACGGCTTCTTTGTGTCAAATAATGGGGAAACTGACCAAGATATCAGAATTACAGATCTCTGTATGTCTGGTTTAACATTGGATTCCAATTTGTCAAATGTTTTAAGTTGCCACATTCATTTGTTCATGTAATTATACACACGGACATCATAGGTATGTCTCATCATCATATTATTCGGGAAGGTGAAATATTTTCTTTCCCTTCCTGATGCAGATAATTGGTGGAAAATATCTGTATCAACCTCTCAGCAAAAGCAAAATATATTGGGAAGATCCTGGTTCAATCAGTGTCTCCAGTGAGACAAGTTCAGTACAAACATCGTCTTAAAGGCCACTCAGGAATACAGAGACAAGAATTTTCCTTTTGGACGCATTTCTTGTACTCTGATTAAACCAAAACTGAATTGTCTAGCCTGTTACGATTGTTACTTTTAGAAGGAAAAAGGGGGGAAATTGCATGCCTTAGAACCCGATCCCTGCTTAAAATACAAAGATGGCAATCTTATGTTTCGTGGAAGTTTTTTTTTGCATTAACTACTGGACCACTTCCCAACATAGATGGCCTCACAAGGAAATGGTAGTTTGTACTCGCTTTACCAGACAATGTCATGCTGACAGAAGTTAGCTGTTTTGCGAGACCGACATCAGTCTGATGAGAAACATTGGGGAGTTTCCATCTGAAATAACACCTTTTGTCAGACAGCAGTCACAAAGTGCTTCACAGTAAACCTAGTAAAAAAAAAATAAAATAAAATCAGTGAACAATGAAAGGGACATTTAAGAAATACAATAACATAGTTCTATATACTCTTCTCATATCATTAATTTACAGTTTTAAGTCTTATAAAGATTAATTGCAAAAACATCAAGTTTTAAGCTGTACGGACATTTAACGATCAGGGAAGTTGACTATTTACCGCCGTTGCTTAACGCCATCGAAAATCTTCCTATGTTACATTGTTGTCGTTATTGATCCAATACCATGAATCCTTGGTAAAAACAAGTAGGCTATGCTGTCCTCCTTTCTGTCTGTTCAGTGCCCTGAAGTGAAGCTTTCAGTCCTCTATGTGCGAAAGAAATGATGTTCAGGGGTCAGAAGCGTCGGACTGTGTTTTACCAATGGCAAATTCCTGCTGGGATATGTGGGTGTATGGGTAATAAAAGAACGTGAGTCTTTTGGAAGAAAAAAATACCAAAGCTCACTCAACATTTCCTGGAGAAATAAGGTTTGAGAAATATCATTAAAATAACATTAGGTGCACTTACACCTACATATAAAACCCAAAGGGGCTTTTGACTCTTCTAAAATACAATATTTGACATATTCTGGTTTTACTTACTGCCGTAAGCCGCAAGACAACAGAGCCTCGTGTCCAGCCGGATGCTGCATATTCACGCAGTGATCAGCCATAAGATGTCTTGGGTCTTGTTTTCTTTTCCCCCACTTTTTTCTCCTCTTTGGTTTATTATATATCCTTTTTTTTTTATTTTCTCCCTTATCACAGTAAGCACCATGTTGAGTGCTACCCCAATCACTGCAGAGTGTCCCAATCACTTCACATTTCTAAGCTAATGAAAGACAAAGGGAAGTTTTTTTTTTTTTTAGTTTGACTGTTTGCAAAAGATAGGAAGTTGACAAAATGCTTCTCTTTTTTTTATCATTTGCTGCTGACAGATCTTTTTTCGTCAGATTTTTCCTTCTTACCCTTTACTACTCATACTTGAACTTTAGCTCTCTTTAGTACCCAAAATAGGACTAGAACAGCTGAACTTCTCTAAGAATTTAAGTGAATGCAATGTCACATTCCTTTTCTGTTCACCTTTGCGAATTTCAATCCACTTAGCCCTTTTAAGAGAATGAAATATTCCAGTGAAATAATAGGATTTTAAAATCCCCGGGAATCGTGTCGGAGGATTATCGTGGATTTAGGTGCTTTTTCTTTGGAATGTGTGTACCTTGGCTGCAGGTACTTATCTCTTTAATACCGTGCCTGTGCTTTGGAAATGGCTGTTTTTTTTGTGTCTGTGCTTACAGTGAGGCAGCACCCTGTGTTTTAATGTTCTGCTATGATCTGTTCATTTTCCAACGATTCTCTCCGTTGATCTCACAGGCCTCTTTCTGCTTGATCCGACTCCTTCAGCCGGGCAAAACGGAGAAAAGCTGATTCTGTACACCCTGCTTGTTGAAGTGTTCTTTGTTCTTTCATAAATACCATTCCTTGCCCTGGTTTGTGGGTTGATTTTAGTGAACAAATACAAAGAAGAAATAAACAAACAAGCTCAGATTTTTAAATAATGCCCATTACAAATGATAAAAGGGCAAAATGTATTTTGTGCTTTTCTCTTCACTCAAAGCACCTTACATTAGGGCCACATTTACCCAGTTGCACCCAATAACGTGCATCTATTCTGATACGCAGACCAGTGTTTAGTGCCTTGCCCAGGGGCTCATCAACATATGACTGGGAGCTCACAGCTTTTGGATTGCAAGCCAACCACTCTACTGAGCCACTGTCCCGCGTTGTTGTTTCCAAACGCCAGTAAAATGCAAGTAAAGTGAAGATTGAGCTAATTATTTGTTGAAACTTGAGGCCCAATGCACAATGTCTTTCTCTCTGTCTTTCTTTGTCACCCTGTCTCTATTCATTCTCATGAGAAGCTGTGTTTATAGCCTTTCTCTCGTAGCTGTGTGAATTTTTTTGAGCAACTTTACATCTATTTTAAATGAAGCTAAAATTAAACGGTAAACTCTATTTACTCCTGTTTAACTGGCACTCCCCTAAAGGCTTTGGTGCTTAGGGGTTTGGAAATTGCTGTGAGCTTTGCAGGAGCTAAATTAGGACTGCACAATATTAGGAAATAATGATGATAAAAGTGGTGATGAATTCATCTTTTTCTCACCAATATCTTTCTCGCATGTCATGCTTTCAGCGCAGCAGGCATTTCATCCCAAAGGGTCCTTTGCAGTATCAATATTGCATTGACAATATACATTCAATTGATTTTGGTCCATAGTGACACAATAGCATCACACATTTACTGTAGATTTGTCAGTTTGGTGACCATGGAGGCAATTGGAGTGAACTCTTTCATATCCTCAAGAAACCAGTAGATTTTATTAGTGACTTTGTGATTTTGTTCTGCTGAAAGTGCCCATAATATATGCACACTGGTTGGTTGCTAACGCTCAATGCAAATTTAATTAATTCTAACGGTATCTTGTTTCTTGAAAATGTGTATTTTCCATTAAAAGTAATGGAAATTGAAATTATTTTTTCAAACCCTCCCACCAACATTCAGCTCTTAAAATCACAGTCATTTTCAACACAAGAAATGACAAATGAACTCAGCTTTTCTGAGGCAAAAACATCAGCTGTGATTCATTCTGCAATAGACCCGAAGCCAAAGACAACAATCCCAAATTACAACATTACCGTTAACCCACACATAACTCCCTAGAAGTTCAGGAGTTACTCGTGTCACTATTTCCATACGGGGAATTGAAAAGATGTCTGTTCATAAACACCTGCTTCTCCTTTTAACATGTAAGGTCCCATAACACTGTAGTTATGAAGCATGAATCAGAATTGTTTGGGTTATGCTGTGCTATGAAGCATTGCTCTTTTTTCAAACATTGCACACATCTTATTAGTGGCTCTGGAGAAATGGGGAAAAAATAACAAAGAGCACACATGTAGCCTTTGTGTAAGAGGCACAGAGCAGTTTGCCTTGGTCTCTAGATTACACACAGGCTAATGACATGCTATGCATTCGTATTTAGAGAAATATTCCTAACTGGGGCAGCTGTGGATATTCACATTTGAAAACAACAAAAAAAACCCATTCAGATTCATTAGTTTTTAGTGTTTCACAGTACTAAGGAACACAAAGAGTAAAAGGAAAATATCTCTCACAGCATCACATTATCACCAGTAACTTAAATCTTTGATCCATCACACCAGACACAATTTCCCATTCTGTTATTGTTTAATTATGCTAGTCCTTTGTTAACTCTATATTTCCTCGTCTTTCCTGACAGAAGTAGCAACTGGTGTGGTCTTCTGCACCAGTTGCCGCTTCTGTCTTGAAGATTTAATGTGTTGTGCCTTCAGTGATGGCACTCCATCTACTTTTATTGCAATGAGTGGTTATTAAAAGTCTTATTGTTGTTTTGTCATTTTGAACTAGTATGGCCGTTCGTCTTTGAGCTCTGACATTATCAAGGCATTTTTTCCCCCCACTATACCGCTACACACTGGATATTTTCTCTGTTTTTCACTGTTGTCTTGAAACCCAAGTGAGATTTGTGAATAAAGATCCCAGTAGATGAGTCAAACAAGGTCGTCTGTCCTCAAATCACCATGGCACATTCAAATTAACTCAAGCCCTCTTTCCT